TTTTTTTTTTTTTTTTTTGTGGTTCTGGGGATCAAACTCTGGACATTTACAAGGCAGGCATGGTGCCTCTGAGCTAAATCCCTGGCCACACAATTTTACCTAATGTAGCAGTTCATCAGCAGTATTGATTAAATACTCATGTTATGAATACAAATACAGTAAGTGTTACCAAAACTTATAAGCAGATTTGGGGTTATAAGAGCTTGGAAGACATAAAACAACGCAGGATGATATATTTAAACTGAACTGTGTTGTAGGGGTTTATAATGGAGGTCTGTGAAGTTTTTTAAGGTGATCAGAAAATGTAGTAAAGGCAACTAGACTTGGGCTTTTAAGAGTAGGGTAGAGAAAATCCCATTAAAAAAATAGCAAGATTAAAGACCTCAAAGGAGGAAAGAATGGGATTCATGTTCATTTTATTTTATTCATTATACTTCAGGTTTTCCTTATTATTTTCTACTTGTAATAATTACAAAACCCTCTTTCTCCCCCCCTGCCCCATCTCTCCTCATTACTCCCTTCCCTGCCATATAAATAAATACTACATGTAGACTGGTTTCCCAGAATGTTGATGGCCAATGGGTACATTCATTTTTGTCTGCTCAGCACAAGGAAGGCACCTTTTTAAACACTTCTCTGTTTCTCTGACAGGAGATCTTCTAAAAATCGCCGCAAAGCAGAGCGGAAGAAGCATAGCCTCAAAGAAGGGAGTCCACTGGAGGACCTGGCCCTTTTGGAGGCATTGCATGAAGTGATACAAAGCATTGAAAAATTGAAAGGTATGTTTTCAGTACTGATGAATGACCACAGAAAATAATAAATGGGCACCACAGATAGGCGGAGTTAAACGTATAATTTTTCCAATATAGTGAAAGAACAAAATTTTCACTAAGAAGGGTCATTTCTCTGCACACAGCAGTAACAACCCTTCTCTGCTGGTATCCTGGAAGCTTTCTTCCACTTGACATCCACTTTATTGGACTTTAACTAGGATAAGGATTAGGCAACACTGTTTTCTGGTTATTTCCAATGTGTTGTTTTTTTCTCTTATAGTAGATGTGGTTAATTAATTACTCCAGCATTTGGAAAGAAGGAAGAAAATGGGAGAAAGCAACTGTAATGTGATATTAGGAGGTTTTTGCTAGAAAAAAAAATTGCATAATTCTAGCAGTGGATCTGGGGGTACAACTTACCACTCCAAAATTTCTTCTCTCTAGATGAAGTACATCGTATTTTAAAGGCACTCTTTCTCTTTGAGTTTAATGAGCGAGGAAAGGAATTACAGAAGGCTTTTGAGGGTACTTTGCAGCTAATGGAAAGCTCACTTCCAGAAATTTGGACTCTCACCTACCAGCAGAATTCAGCCATCCCTGTAAGTTTTCTCAAAGATAGTAGTATGCCTCTTTCCATCATTTTCTCAGGTTATTAGAGTCACAAATCCTTAAAAGTCAGTGTAAAACATTCTTAAAACAACATTTGCCATAGTTGCCTATGTTTAAGCCCTTAATAACATTTTTTCATATTTGCCTATACAGTGGCTAATAGAATTTGGCATAGGTTAGGTAGAGTATCATCTTTCCTCTCTAGGTAAAGTAACTGATTCGGAGAAAATGGGTGTAGGAAAATGAAGCCTAAGATGACTGCACTATAGTTCAGATGTAGTTGTGGCTGTGTGTGATTTCTGGTGGATAGTACTTCCAGAGTCAGTGGAATTCCAGTGCAGGTGTACCTCCTGATGCCCTGGGGTAACTGATATAACCAAGGTCAGTGCACACCACTATGATTATGTAGACTCATATAGTTAGCTGGACTGCCATGAGGGCTGGCAGGCTGGGAGACTGAGGACTGCTGTGCTGTGGGTATACAGTGGCTGGGGACTAGAAGACCAGCTGGACAGATAGACTATGGCTAAGTGGTGTGTGGGCTAGGGGCCTGAGGACTGCAACATGAGTGCATGCAGCTGAGCATCACATGATAATAAAGATGTCTAATTCAGACCTCAGTTCTGCCTCTTTGGGCTGCCCCAATCTCAGATGAGCCTTCCCTGTCTGAACTGGTGACAAGACAGTGGGAAAGTCTTCCATGAGGGTGGAGGGTGGAGAAGGGAGAGCTAAGATCAAAGTTGACCATTCATCTTCCAATTTAGAAATCATGTATGGGACAGCAGAAGCTTAATGTCCTATTAGGAATTTGTATGTATTGTCAGCTGTTTATTGTTTATACCTCTGCTTGCTCTTGTCCTTGAAGTCTGTTGTGAAGCATTGTGATTTGGATTCAGAAAGATTGGTAGACTAGTTGGGGTCCACAAGGGAAGAAGAGCCACAGCTGTTGCTTTCTTGCATTGAACTTAAAATGTGTGTTGAGTAAGCATCTGGGCACCAAAAAGTTAAAAATGGGGCACAGAGGAGTAAGAGAAGAAGCAGCTTTGGGGCTGGGGATTTATCTCCGTGGCCCTGCCCCTGCCTTGTAAGCACAAGGTCCTGAGTTCAATCCCTGGTACCGGAAAAAAAATAAAAATAAAAAATAAATAAATAAAATAAAAATAAAGCAGCTTCTATCCCTGTGGCTGAGGAAATATGGGAGTGTTTGTGATTGTCACAGTTTAGAGGCCTGGAGGTTAAGTCTCTCGAGAGTTGGTTCTGGACCATCTGAGAAGGTGCCAGCTAGCTGGTCCTGACATTTCTGTGAGCATGATAAGACTGGTTCTAAGTGAACAGAAATAAATGAAAAGTGGAATAAACAGCTGCTGCTGGAGTCAAAACACACAAACCCTTTCCTCCAGCCTTGCATGGTCATCTTTTGTCCCTTGTTGCTGGAGCACAACAGAAATCAGCTGAACAGGAATGTTCTTTTAGCCCCAGCTTCACAAGCAATGTGTAGAAGGGTGGGTTTGGGTTTGGTGCTTAGAGACAGAAGGTTGTGAAATCTCATATCATTTTACTGCGTCTCAGTTAGAAGTGGGGAGCCTTCCATTGGGTGCCTCATGGTTAGATAAGAGGATGGGTGTAGAAGCACTTTACAAACCACAGAAAGAAAATAACTAAGAATCAAGACCCCATAGATGCTTGAATTTAGTATATTAGGTATTTCCTAGAAGAAATGTGATCTTCCTCTTCAAAGCTACAGTGGTTATGAAGCTAACAATTTAAAATGCCTCCCCTGAGCCTCCCTTCCTCTCTTCTTTTTGCATCATAAATTTCTAAGGCCCCAGCTTGATGAATCTTCTAGATAAAATGACCAAGAAAGTTGTGGTTTGTTTTGGTTGGCACAGTATGGTAACGAGGTATGTTCAAGTTATTTGAAAGCGCTTTTGATGCATGGCATTGGTCCTCCTAGTACTTCTTACATAGATGAATGAGGGAAAACGAGAGAGTTGGAATCTTCCTCAAGGCTTGCTGCAGGCACAGGAAACCCTGTGAAGTTGAGTGCTTTACCTTAAAGGGCAGAGTTTTCATTCCACATGTGCTTTGCACATATTTATATTTAATATAAAAATGACTTTTCCACAACTCTGTATATAATTGGTACTCTGTGTGTTCTATGGTCTCTTATTTTCCCCTTCAAATGGCTTGCTTATTTGGAAAAAGCCAAGCATGTGTCATTGTAGGACCTTGTACCCACATTGAGAGAGGAGGTTAAGAATTCTGAGTTGAAACTCTAGAAATTGGCAGATTAAAATCATATAGGAAAAGAGAATTAATGTCAGTATCATACTAATAGAATAATAGACTGGGCCATGCATTGTGATGGGTGTCTGTAGTCCTAGCTGCTTGGGAGGCTGAGGCAGGAGATTGCAAATTCAAGGCCAGACTGGGCAACTAGCAAGACTGTCTCAAAATAAAATAAAAAAAGACTAATAGCTCAGTGGTAGTGTGACATTAGATTTGATCCCCAGTGCCAAAATAAAATAAAAATGACAGGGTATTTACTGCTAGCTAGAGGTTTGGTCTTTGGTTTGTAGTCATCAGAAGTAAAAGATAACCATTGCTAACTCAGATTGTTTTCTACTTAGGTTCTAGGTCCCGGTTCTACTGCAAATAGTATCATGGCCTTTTATCACCAGCAGAAGACTTCAGTTCCTGTCTTTGGTTAGTATCTTTTTCCCTATAAATGATCATGGTACCAAATAGAAAAAAATATCTGTAAATGTTGACAAGGTCAGCAGTAGAAGGAGAGATTGGGCATTTACTATGATTCTTTCTCGATACTGAGACTATTTTTTAGTAGATTAGTTTAATGCTTCAGGGGGTTTGATGGGGGAAATCCAAAGTGACATTAAAATATATAGTTAAAGTTTTTTAGTGAAACTGACATGCACTTGTCCATACCATACACATCACAGTTTGCGTCTGAAAGGTCTGCATCTACATAAATATTTGGAAAATTCTTTTGAATCGTCATTTTGGCTTTGGCAGTTATGCATTACATCTTGGGGACATTTTCGCAATCCTTGTTTGTCATCTAGACCTTTTCATCACCTTTATGATTGAAAATGTAATTTGAAGGAAAATCCAAAGAATGTTAGCATTTTATATGAATTTTGAATTTAATTAGCATTACCTGAAATGTTTTTGTTGATGGTTCACAAGTAGATTGTGTTCGTAAAAATTTTAACCATAGTTATTAAAGACTGTTTAAAAGTTGGTTAGACATTTTCAATATAAATTTGGCACTTTAGTATTTGCTCTTTAGATGGATCACTTAAGCATACCAGCCTCTCTTGGCTTTGAAAAGTTAGTGATATCTTCTAAAATAATTTGTAGTTTTACAGCTATTATTTGCATTTTCTAGCATGTAACAGGCAATGTTCTGAAATTGTTTCATTTAAATAGTGCACCATAATAGCATTTTTTGACATTTGGAATTTAAAGTTTAACAGTTTGAACTGCTTCAGTTCCAACTAAATTTGTTCATCTTGGTGACTACTGTAGCCTTAGCTCCCCTTCCTCCTGGACTTTGGCCAGCTGCTCTTGTTATCAGTTTCAGTTCATGCACTTATTTCTGAGATGCCATTCATCTTGGAGCTGAAGCAATTTGGCAGTTGTTTTGTTCATTGTCAGATCCTGCCTTTTGTGCTCCTTGTTGCTGGCCTGATGATGACCTTTAAGATAGGTCCAGTCACATCTTTACCTAGCATATTCTAGATGGTTTCATGTCAAAAAACATTTCTGTTTCCAACTAAGCCTTAAAGACCATGTAATATTTGAGGAACCCTGGTCTGAGTGTTTATTATCAGTGTTTCATGGCTACAAATTAATCAGGAAAAGAGAGGATCTCACTATCAAAAAACTGGCATTGATATCGCTTATGAGATGAGTCCCACTGAAATATTCCTCAGCTGTCCTTCCTCAGCTAATAGTGACTGGGGAAACTCATCCACTTCTCAGCGGGATCAGCAACTGGATGGGCCATTTGCTGTGATGGTACAATGCAGTATCAGAAAGATTGATTTTGAGTCTTACAAAAATGTAGATGTTCATAAAATGAATTAAAGTGATATTAGAAAAATGCTTGAATTGTAGCTGAGTGATTTGTGGGAATCACTAGTTAACAAAATAAGTGCCTCGGCTGGGTGTGGTGGTGCACGCCTATAATCCCAGCACTTTGGAGGCTGAGGCACGAGGATTGCTATGAGTTCGAGACCAGCCTGGGCTACACAGTGAGTTCCAGAGCAGTCTGAACTACGTAGTGAGACCCTGTCTCAAAAAAAACCTAAATAAATGCCTCAAGTGATTATTAAAGAATTTAAGAATTCCTTGGAAAAGTTAAAAAGCTCTCAAAATATTTTTATAAAAATGACTCCTTTTGTACCAAGAAATTCAAACATGGAAATGTGAAAGATATCACATCCTAATGTCATACAGTTTGTCAAAATAATTACTTTCTCACCAAAAAGTCAATAGTTGGTATTTATCCTTAGTTAACTTTAGACTCAAATATAATTGTTGTTGTGTCTAATTTTTTAAAAATATTTTTCTAACTTGTTTCTTAAGACAGAAACTCATTCAAAGTTTAATCTCTATGAAATTTTATAGCCAACAACTTGTTGACAATGAATTTATTTATGAATTTTTTTTTTCAGTAACAGTATTCTTAGATAACCAAAGTAGCTGGTGGGCTTTTATCTATATAGTTTTTTTGGGGGGGTAATGGATATACACAGGAGTGAATTTTATGCATAGTTCTAAAACTGGTAACCATCAGAAAATGTGATGTAAAGTATGTCAAAGAAAATTAAAATTTGACAATTTCTAGTCATATGATTATGTGCCCATAAATATGTATTTATGTATAATATGAAAATAATGCCAGACATGGTGGTGCATGCCTGTAATCCCAGTACTCAGGAGACTGAGGCAGGAGGATCACTGTGAGTTTGAAACCAGCCTGGGCTCCACAGTGAGTTCCAGGTCAGTCTCAACTACATAGTGAGACCCTGTCTCAAAAAAAGAAAATCAGGATTTAGAAAAAAACTCTTGAAGATTTTTGCTCATATTACTAGATACTCTTTTAAAATCATTTTTTATATTTGTATACCATATATGTATGGATGTATTACTGGAAGTTTAATTATCATAAAGAATGCCCAAAAAAAGGGCCTGGGACTTAGCCTGCTTTGCAAGCACAGGAACCTGAGTTCGATCCCTGGTACCAAAAAAAAAAAAAAAAAAAAAAAGTGCCAAAAAAGAACATCCTCATAAATGCATACTTTTTTATATCTCTGGTTCCTGTATACAGTTCCTAGTTAGGGACTCCATAGATCTAACCAAAAGACTGCCTAGAAGTTTTAGATTACAGTGACAGAAGTTTTCTCTGACACTCCCTCAGCACTTTCCCTCCCTGCCTTTTTGGTTTGCTTAAAGAGTCATCTTTGTAATCCATGTTTGTAGAATTTTATTACAGAGCATTTTCTTTCCATTCACTTGCAATGCAAATGCCACATTTTTTTGCCCTTTTAAAAAAATGAGATAAATTTGACATACAGTAAGATATACAGGTCTTAGATACGTAATTTGAAGACTTTTAATGAATATACTCTGCATGTAACCACTACCACCCCTTTCCAGTTGAAATGTAGAATATTCCTCTACTTTGAATCACTTGGTGAGCATGGCTGGAGTTCATTGCAGTCTCTGCTTTCTGGGTGGGGACTCCTGGCTCTAACTCAGAAATTACAAGGGTAACAGGCACACTAACTCTGACTGTAATGGTCATCTTGGAGCTGCAAAACCTAGTCACTTACTTTGTTTGGCATAGAGTTGTTGCCCCAGCTCTCACCATTTTGTGTCTATCATAATTTCCCTTCCTTTTTAAAGATGCTGAGCTTTTCATACCACCGAAGATCGACAGAAGAACCCAGTGGAAACTGAGCCTGCTAGAGTGACTGATGCAGTAGAAAGGCTCCAGCAAATACCAGTTCCTTCTTGTTCTTAGTTGTCCTTCCATCCTTGCTTCTGGAAGCCTGAGAACTGAGAAGTGTGATAATCAGCATTGCCTACAGCTGCTGTGTGCACCAGCCTGCAGCGGACCCCAGGCAATTATATTCTTATTTTGGTGTACATCTCAATCACTAGCAAAACATTAAGCTTTAGCCAACATGTCATAAGTTTTAAAGAAGTATTGTTCTTGTATTTAGTGCCGTTTGAGAGCATGATAACTCTATTTATAATAATCGCAAGAGTTGGGTCTTAATTCCCAGTTACAGATTTGATTGATATTGGGACTGTGGACAAGTCACATAACTGATTTGTACCTCAGTTCTTTTCTGTTAGTAGGGATTAATGTTACATGGCTTCTACCTCAGAAATATGAAGACAAAATAATGTTTCTAAATTGTTTTATGTTACTGGAAGAGATTATTATAAACAACAGGCTATCAGTGGTATCATTCTTTGTCAGATGTAATCACTTTATTGGCTTCTTTTCATCTTAAACAAACAGACAAACAAAAAACAACAAAAAGTCAAATGTATCACCTTGCCCAGTTTGTATACTTCCAGTTTTCATTAGGCTGGGCCTCTGTTCACTGTTACAGGCACTGTTTTATTGTCTGTATGTTCTGCTACAAAATCAGTTGTGTTAGAGCTGGAACAGATTAGAATTTATGAAATACTATCAGACACATTTGGTACAGGTGAGCTGTTGCCTCAACCTTCACAGCGTAGGGTCTGGAAACTTGGGAGTGTGATGGAAGATGAAAATTGGAAAATAAGAAAGAAGGAAAAATTATGCTTTATAGCTGGGACCAGGTGGACCATAGCCTGATGAGCTAATGGCCACCTGGAGTCCAGCATACTCTTTATTTATAGTGTAGGAAGGTAGGGTAACTAGTGCCACATGGCCCACGTGACCTATGTGGCCTAGGCTGAATGTGATTGTCTCATGATCAGAGCATGTGCAGAAAAAGAACAAGGATGCATAATATAATAGTCTCCTGGGGCTGTGCCATCCACGATCTACAAGTTTATAGTCAGTCTGTTTGACTAGCTAGTCTATGGAGGAGAAAGGGAGTAGGGCTTAGGTGAAGGACCATTTTCAGGCTCTGCCTGTGGCAAGCAGTGCACATTTTATGGCATTCATAGTTGGAAATTGTTCATTATTGTTCAAATACTGCTTCCCTAACTGAAATTTTTTTTCAGTGTCTAGGCCATTTTATCTGGTGTTTTTTGGGGGGTAGGGGGATGAAAAGATTTTCTCTTTTTCTGAGTCTAGAAAATACCCAGTTTATTTTAAGAATTTTGTGGCTAATCTTTTTGTAAAGTTAAAAATTTCTCCTGTTTATAATACAGAACCAGACTTCATTGCTGTATGTAAATTAATAGGAAATGCTACTTTTGATCCCCAGAATATAGGTCTACCCAAAATTGTAGTACCAAAAGACTTTTCTTACTGGAATGAGATGTTAGCTAAAGAATCTGGGGGTATGTGCTATATAATTCACCTTTTCTATGTTTGTGAAAATTTTCACAAATAATAGGAAAAAAAAAAGACAGCATATTGTGCTTTGGGGAAATCTTTTAACTCATACCCATTGTTGTAGTTAGCAGATTGGGCAAGGGAATGCATTAAATACAGGACAAATAACTTCTAACTTATACAATTGTAGTGGAGGACCTCAATACCCCATTGTCACAAATAGACATATCTTCTAGACTAAAAAATCAACAGCGAAATACTAGAACTGAACCAAGCTTATGAACAAATGGACTTAATAGATGTCTACAGAGTGCTCTACCCCACAAAATCAGAATATACATTCTTTTTTATTGCACACAGGTCATTTTCCAAAATAGACCACATACTAGATTATAGAACATGTTTAAGTAAATGCAAAGGAATTGAAGCTATCCCATGTATATCATCAGACCATAGTGCAATTAAACTTGAGATCAATAGCATAAGAAATCATAAGACTTCATAAACACATGAAAATTGAATAACACTCTCCTGAACAACCAATGGGTCACAGCAGAAATTAAAGAAAAAATTAGTTTTTACAATTTAATGACAATGTCAGTACAACATACAAGAATCTCTGGGATACAGTGAAAGTAGTTTTATGTGGAAAATTCATAGCAGTGAATGCCCACACTGGGAAAACAGAGCGAGCTCAAATAAACAACCTCATGGTGAATCTTAAGCTCCTAAGGAAAAGGAGAGCAACAGAAACCCAAAGTTCATACAAGGGAGGAAATTATAAAGATCAGAGCAGAAATCAATGCAATAGAGACTAAGAACAATATAAAAGAAATCAATGCATCAAAGAGTTGATTTTTTGAAAGAATAAATAAAATCAATAAACCCTTAGCCAACCTTATCAAAAAAGGAAGAAAAGGCTCAAATTCATGCAAGTAGGAATGAAAAAGGTGAAGTTACAACAAATTCAGCAGAAATCCAGAGGATCATTAATTACCTACTTCAAGAACTGTACTCTAGTAAAAAGCAAAACAGAAGAATTGGACAGATTTCTAGATACATATGAATTACCAAAGTTGAATGAAGAAGATATAAAAATTCTAAACCCCAATTACAATCAGTGAAGTTGAAAAATTTACCAACAAAGAAAAGCCCAGGTCCTGAGAGCTTCACTGCTGAATTCTACAATTTAGAGATGAACTATTGCCACTACTCTTTAAACTTTTCAATGAAATTGAAAGAGAAGCAATACTTCAAAATTCATTCCTAGACGCAAGTATTACTTTGATTCTAAAACCAGGGAAAGACCCAACCAAAAATGAGAACTACAGGCCAATCTCCCTAATGAACATAGATGCAAAAAAAACAAACAAACAACAACAACAACAAAAATAACCTCAATAAGATACTGGCAAATAGAATACAAAGGGTCATCAAGAAGATTATTCACCCTGACCAAGTCAGATTTATCCCAAAGATGCAAGGATGGTTCAATATATGTAAATCAATAAATGTAATACACTATATTAACAGAATCAAGGACAAAAACTGTATGATCCTCTCAATAGATGCAGAAAAAGTGACAAAATTTAATACCCATTCGTGATAAAAACCCTACAGAAAATTGGAATAGATAAATCTTTATCTCAACTCGATAAAGGCTATCTATGAAAAACTAACAGCCAACATCATACTAAATGGCCAAAAACTGAAAACTTTCCATTAAAATCGGGAACAAGACAAGGATGTTGTCCACTATCACCACTCCTGTTCAATATAGTTTGGAAACATTAAGCCACAGCAATTAGACAAGAGAAAGAAAGAAAAGCAGTAAAGATAAGAAAGGAAGAAAAACTCATTATTTGCTGATATCATACTCTACATAGAAGACCAAAGAACTCCGCCAAAAGACTTCTAGACTTGATTGATTCAGTAGAGTAGCTGGATACAAGGTAAATAATAAAAAATCAATAGCATCCAAAAAAATGAAATATTTAGGAATCAATCTAACAGACGAAAGACCTCTACACTGAAAATTACAGCACTCTAAAAAAAGATTGAAGAGGATATAAGAAAATGGAAAAACATCCCTTGTTCTTGGGTAGGAAGAATCAATATAGTGAAACTGGCCATACTTCCAAAACTTCTGTACAGATTTCATGCAACCCCTATTGAAATCCCAACAGTTTATTTCATAGAACTAGAGAAAACAATCTAAAAATTCATTTAGAATTAGGAGAGACCTAGAATAACAAAAGCAATTCTAGGCAACAGAGATATGGCACGGGGTATCACAATCCCCAATTGAAATATACTACAAAGTCACTGTGATAAAAACAGCATGGTACTGGCAAAGAAATAAACCCAAGGATCAGTGGAACAGATTAGAAAATGCAGAAACATCTGGCATATTCAACTACCTTACACTGGAGCCAAACAGCCTCTTTGGAGGAAAGATAGCCTCTTTAATAAATGTTGGGAAAACTGAATTTCAACTTGTCAAATATTAAAATTAGACCTGTATCTTTCACCATGCACTAAACTAAAATCCAATATTATGAATATAAATATTAAATCAGAAACACTAAACTTGCTGGAAGATGAGGTAGGTAGAACTCTTGAAGATATTGGCATAGGAAAAGACTTTATGAATAAATCCTCAGTAGCACAGGAACTTGCATAAAGAATCAACAATTAGGATCTCATCTTTTTAAAAAGCTTCTGCACTGCCAGAGAAATCACAAGCAGAGCTAAGAGACAACCCACAATGTGGGAAAAAAATTTTATGAGCTGTTCCTCAGATAAAGGAAGACTATCTATAATATATAATGAACTCAAAAAAAAATCAGACCCCCCCCCAAATATAAAGACCCAGTTAAAGAATGGGAATCTGAAATGAACAGACATTTCTCAGACAAAGAAGTAAAAGCAACAAATAATCATGAAAAAATGTTCAACATCACTGGTCATTTGAGACATTTAGATAAAAACACAGATTCCATTTCACTCCAGTAAGAATGGCTGCTATTAAGAAATCGTTCAGTAAATGCTGGCAGGGTTGTGGGGAGGAGGGAACCCTTCTCCATCGTTGGAGTGCGGACTGCTGTAACCACTGTGGAAATCAATATGGAGATACCTCAATCAACTAGGATTAGAAGACCCATATGACCCAGCTATCCCTCTGCTGGGTATGTTCCCAAAAGAATTGAAAGGATCATACCACAGTGATATGTTTACTCATGTTTATAGCAGCACAGTTTGTAATAGCTAGAACTTGGAAACAGCCCAATTGCCCATCGACTAGAGACTGGATAAAGATGTGTTTTGTTTTTGTTTTTTTTTTTAATAAAATGGAATACTACTTAGCCATAAAGAATGAGAAACTAGAGAGATTTATAGCTAAGTCAATGTACATTGAGGCCATACTCAAGTGAAATTAATGTTACATGTGTGTAAATACCGAATAGTTTCTCTGGTGTGAAAAAGTAAAAGTGCAAATAGGGATTTAAAAGTATAATTGATATTGTGTAGTAGGAAGAAAAGTCTAAAAGAGTAGAGGAAGTGGGAGGGGTAGGGGAAATGTAAAAAGGGAAAAGAAAATATGTGAAATGGAAAAACATGGAAACAGTGTCTTTGTAAACAGGGAAGGGGGGAGGGCTGAGGAAGGGGGAAAAATAAGAACCTGATAGGTCATGTATGGGTACAAGATCCCAATGATGAATATAACTGTGTTGTATACCTAATATGTACCAATAAATTTAATAAAGATTAAAAAAAAAAAACTTTGTTATTTTATAATTACCCAAAGAGTCAAGTGCAAAGGAGTGCAAGAGATTAACCACTAGAATCCCCAAAAATTCAACTGAGAACCTAGAGCCCAGCACTTTCCTACACAAGTCCAGCTAAAGGCTTAGAGTCCAAGACAATGTCTCCTTGAGTCCAGCCAGGGCCTAGAGTCCACGGCAATGTCTCATGCTTGTCCGTATTGATGATCTGTACCTGGAAGGCCCGAAGGCCAGTGGTGGAAACCAGAAAATCTATGCTAGTGAGATAAAGGATCTGTGCTGCCAAGCTGAGGGAACCACATTGGAGCCAGGAAGTGATGCTCACGGTAAAGATCAGAGCTCCCCTGATGAAAGCAGCAGCCATTCCCAGTGACAGCAAGGCCTCAAACTCTGAGAACAGCCTTTTTCCATCAGGAAAACCATCCATAGCAAGCTTCTCCTAGAAAATCAACAGGCCAAGATCTTCCCCTCTAGTTCCCATTGTATGACTTGGTAACAATCTTCAGGTGGATCTTCCACACCCAGACCATGCTGATTCAGTTCAGTTGGGTGTTAACAAGTATTAGCCAATCCACTACATCCATAATGGATTTGCTACAATTAGATGTCGAAATGTGAAAGGCTGGAAGTACTTTGTGACTACTCTGGTATGGATAAGTGAACATGGTAACTTATATGGCATTTATTGTTATAATTATTTTTCTTTGAATAAATTATTATTAAAGGGACCCATGCCAATAGACTAGAAATAGAACTAAATATATGAAAATCATGCGAATTTTCAGGTGATGGTTGCCTTAAAATAATGTAGTAGCAAGGAAGAATTTGTATGGGGCTTAGTGGCTCCACTGCCTGCCTTGCAAGTGCAGGGGCCCAAGTTTGACCCCGGGTACCATTAAGAAAAAATTGAAAGAATTTATTTGACTGCAGATTACTGTCAGTTACTACCTGTCACCCGAGCAAGACTGAATTTTGTTCATTTTGAGTAGAAGCAGGCAGACCTTCCAAGTTGAAGGTAAAAACAAAAGAAGAATTTGCAGGAGAAGACAAGGAATGTATGGGGAGAGGAGAAACTCCTGTGAGTAATGAGTGCTGAATTTGGGGAGACTCTGTTAGGTTTTAGAAATGATTATATACTCTTCCCCAAAATTTGGGCTGTATTTTAGAACGAGTTCATGATGCTGTATGCTAAAATCTTCAGGTATTTTTGGCTCATTGAGTCAGATAGCTTTGCCTAAATGCTCTTGACAGGAAACTTCTGGAGGATGGTTTTCTTCAATTAAGTCATTTCAGATTCATGTTTTTTTACAGCTGAGGCAGGAGTTAATTCTTTTGTTTTATGAGTAAAGCTTGGTATAAGCTATACTGCCCCCCCAGTTTTTCTCACCAGGCTGTTTTTAAAAATAAATCCAATAGTTCTTAGAAATTTAAGGTGACTGCAGGTGTGGAAAGCAGTTTTTTTCCTCTTGTGCCAGTCCATACATAGTTTTGTGCTATGGAAGCCCTTGGGAATCTTTGGGTGTCCTTTTTCGTCATTTTTGTTAGTACTTGAGGTGAGGATGGAAATCTTAGAACCTAGATAACTATAAATATCCAAGAAGCTACGGACGAGATAAGCCTCCTATTGTGCCATTTGGCAGCACTGATGGCCTGCTCTTGAGTCACCTGGGTCTTGTGTTTTCTGTGTCCCCTGCCCTTGCCTAGACCCTGTTTTACTCTGCTGGCTCTAAAGTCACAAGAACATCAAGAACAACAGCCTCCTGGTATAGAGGAAAGAATGAAGCCTTGGGCTGTGATTCGTGTTTCACACTGCCCTTAGACAAAGTCAGTTCATCTCATTGAGCCTTGCTTTCTCCAGGTTTATGTTCCCATTCTTTGAGAGTGGGATGGTTTTCCTTTATATTATGTAGCATATTTGACAACTTCCCTGGCCTCTACCCACTAGATAACAGTAGTAACATTTCCGTCACCATTATAGCAACCCCAAATACCTTTGACAGTGTCTGGCTTGCCCTCCAGTTACAAACTACTAGGCTTAGCTGACTTCAGAATACTACTGTTCATCTTTTTATGAAGAATATATTTTCTTCCTACCAGGTAATTGTGAGAATCAAGTGAGAGAACTGAAGTCCTTTCAGTGTTCTATGGTGATGCACACCTGTGGTCCCAGCAACTCAGCAAGCAGAGGCAGGAGGATCACAGGTTCAAGCTCATAGTTCTTACTGAGACTGTGTCTCAAAACATTTTTTTAAAAAATAATAAAAAGGGCTGGGGATGTAGTACAGTGTGAAGGCCCTGTCTTCAATCCCCAGTACATATAGGAAGGGGGAAAGGAAGGAAGGAGAGAAAAGAAAAAAAAAAGGAAAGTGGTTTGAGAAAGACTATAGTTGAGAACTTTACATTGCTGTTTTGAAGTAAACATTTAGGCCTGTAATATCCTGGAGATGCCTGTCCTCCAGAAACCCCCCCTGCATCGAGACCCTCAGCTTTTTGGGGAGTCCTTGACAGATTCTGAAGATAGAAGTATATTACTGTATGATTGTTTCCTCAGTAATCCTATATATTTTATGTATTTTAAAACATTCTGAGACGAGTTCTGTAGGTTTTCACCACCCTGCTAAAAATATTTAAAGGTTTAGGACTTAAAAAGTCCAGCTTGCCTCTCAGTGTGTGTTCAAGGACTGTTGACTGTTGATGGTCTGGGCAGAAACTGGCTCATTCCTTGATATTCCAGGATGAGGCTTGGTCATCCTTGCTGTATTATAGGACCTTGTGATGTCCCCCTGCTTTCCATCTCTGCTTCCCTTCTCCAGCTTGCTGGTGTCAGGTGTGCTTACTCAGCAGACCTAGATCCAGGGTCTGTGGGTTAGGCTGTTCAAGGCTGTCTAGGCAAACCTGGAGGCTATGAGGGGGGTTCTGGAAGGCTTCACATGGTGGAGATGCTAGGTTGAGACCTCTGAGTGCCGAACCGTGTGCATATATAGCTAAAGGGCCATAGTAAGAGACTATGCTTCTACATAAGTGTACACGATACCAGCTCACTGTTGTGAGTACACCCCTTAGGCCACACCCTAACATGCAGGCATTTTTCTTCTGGTTTTATATTGGCTATGCATTAGGCATTCATACTAAATTTCCTAGTCGTTCAAAGAGGTGATAGCAAAGTAGGGTTTCAAACCACATAGTCCAAAGTACTTACTCTTTTATGCTACCTGGTAGTGTTCTTCCGATTCTGAACCTTAAAGACAGAACAGAGAATGTACTGTGGGCTGTTCTCAGGAATTTCCAATTTGGTGTGCTCCAATTACAAACTCCTCCTTACCCCTGCAGGAATATTATAGAACCTGCTGGGTCCTGCAAGGGCTTCCCTGATTACTGAGGTTCTGTGTGTTCCTTTGGGTTTTTCAGCTGGACCAGCATAGGGCACCTCCCACAAACTCACACTATCAGGCTGGGGACCTGCATCTCCATCCGACCTACCCCAGTGCCAACTGTTGGAGAATCTAATCTGTAAGGAGATGGAAATTAAGCATCTAGAGAATGACCAGGACTTCCGTGCTTGATCTCAATACTGATAATTGAAGATAAATCTTACCCTAGTTATTTAAAAGGGGAAGTCCATGTAGCACTGGTTCTCAGAGGAGTTGCCCCCGCCCCCGGTGCTAGTCTTCAATGGCTGGTCACAATGGCCTAATAAGACTGGTATTGAGATGTAAGGGACTATTAAAAATTTTAAAAGGTATAGTTTAAACAGGGGTCACACATCTTTGCCAGCAATTTCCAAGCTTTCAGAGTTGGAGGTATAGTATGAAATGTACACTGCTGCTTTGGGGGAAATTGAGCTGTTGGTGTTGACAGAAGGGAACATGTTATGTGTCCTAACATTTACAGTACTCTGTAATCTATCTCACCACACTCTTTTTCCAAATCAAGTTTAACAATATAGCAGTTCCTATAGGGGGAAATATACATGAGACAATTATTTGAGAGCTAGTTTTTCCCAAGGAAGAGTGTTGAGTAATCAACAGCAAACATTGTTTTGTGCCCCCCCTCCGCCTTTGTTTTGGCAAGTGTACAATATTTAATTTTTAAGATCAGTACTACGTCTGTGAAGTTATCCTTCAGTCAGCAATAGACACAGCATGGAGGGGCAAAGGCAGGGTGTTTAATGCTACAGGAAGAAAGGTGAAGCTCAACTCCCTGTGTAGAAGATGGGGCACCCAGCTAGCAAAGCTGATGAGCTCCCACCATAGCAGCCATGCCTCATGAGTCAGAAGCACCTTCTGAAGAGAAAGTAAGGCCCGTGTTCCTTATACTCAGAGCGGTGTACCCACAGTGGCTGGAAACCTTGTAATGAGGCCAGGATAGAGCCGCCAGTCCACACCGCAGTGTCTCTCTCGGGCAGCACATTTACATTCGGGGTGTCATTGGGACACATGCTGCTCAGCTCCTTCTGCAGACGGTTGGGGAAACCTCTGAGCATAGTGCTGCCGCCACAGAGCAGGATGTTCCCCATGAGGTTCCGTTTGAGGGCGATGTCACACTTGTTGAGGCAGGACATTGTCTGGGTGTGGAGGCCCAGCTGCATGGACTTGATTAGAGATGGTTTGAAGAACATTTCGGAGCAGAGGAACCTTTCCTGGCACAGGCAGATCTCCTTTCCATCAGGCAGAGTATACTGGATGTCAAGCTCACTGGGAGGGACTTTCTTTTCTTCAATGGGGTCCATTGCCACAAAGCAGCATTTCTGCTTGATGTCCTCCACAGTGCTCATCTGGTCCTCAGTGAAGTGTTGTCCTGCATTGTTCAGCAGGCTCATCAGATAGACAGTCAGGTCGGAGCCTGCGTAGTCCAGCCTTCCTGTGATGCTGGGCAGTGGGTAACCCTCAAAGATGGGGACCACGTAGGACACACCGTGGCCTACCTCCACCACCAGCCCGGAGGTCCTTCCGTAGGAGTACATGGACAGGCGGGACTGGTAGGCGATGTGCATGGCAGGCGTGCTGAAGCTTTCGAACAGCATCTCGGCATACTTCTCTCTGTTGGTGTTTGGGCTCAGGGGTGGGTCTGAAACCAAGACTGCATGCTCCTCTGGGGCAATCTTCATCTCTTGTCGGAACAGATATTCCCAGATATCCTGCACTGTATCCCAGTCCACGATGATTCCATGTTGCAGAGGATTAACTAGTTTGAGACAAACCTGTGGGTTGAGGAGCTCCTGCCCCACGAATGTCTCCTTGTGGTTAGTCCCAGTTTTGGCAGTCTCCGTGTAGGGTTTACCCACTGTGGTTGAGATCTTGTGGCTGGGCCTCGGCAGGCCAGCAAAACCACATTTACAGTAACCAGTGCCAAGGTCCACGACCACTGCTTTAGTTTCCATCAGCTTGGGCCACTCTTTGGGATCTGTTGATCTGACAGACTCTTTTGGTCCTGCACTGTTACAGCCAACCTGCACTGCCTGCCTGGCAGGGCCATCCTTGATGGAGATGGTCTGGAAGGCCTGAGTCTGCGGGGAGGCGTGGTCATCTGCTTTCTTGGCAAGCCCATCCCCTGTCTTTGCTGCCTGTGGTTCCCACATGCTGTCAAGAGCCATATGCTCTTAGGAAGTTCTTCAACCACAGTGGCTTCAAGGCCTGTGAGGCCTAAATCAGAGGACAACTTGAGAATTCCCCAACAATGACATCACTGATTATGACATAATCCAGTGACGGGGCTTTCTAGATACTAGAAACCTTCTCCTGGGTTAGTGTGTGTTTAGGGTATTGTTTTTGAAATGACTTCCTTTTTTCTCCATATTTTATAATTATATAATTTCATTCAGTTATTTTGTATCAAATGCCTGTGACATGCAAGGCAGCTGGGAATACAGCAACGGGGAAAAAAATCTGCCCCAGTAAAACTTACATTCAAGTTGGTGGGATAGAAGGAAGACAGACAACAAATGTATTTAAAACAAATACATGTTGTAAAGTATTTAGAGTGCAAAAGATCAAAAAGGAGGGTAGGCAGGGTGGCAGTGCTAGTGTGGCCTGGCCGAGGGCCGCTGAGATAATGGTGGCTGTTGTGTGTGAAGACTTCCAAGAGGTGGAGAGCGCCACACACTACTGAGGGCAGCAGGTGCAAAGCCCTGAGGCAGATGAGTGACTGATGAGTTAGGACAGGGACCATCAGAATGCAGCCAGGTCCAGCCTGCAGCTTCTGGTTGTAAATAAGCTTAGTGGGAGAGCCACACTCCTCACTTTTGTATTACCTATGGATGCTTTTGCAATGCAACAGCAGTCACTGCAACAAAGACTATATGTCCTAAATGCCAAATTAAAATAATGACTGGCACATCACAGAAAGTTTGCTGACTGATTTAAAGAACTGGAAGAAAAACAGCATGGCAGGTGGGAGGAGCCAGAAAAAATGAAGATGGAAGTGTGTGGGGGGGTGAGCAGCTCCCATCAGGCCTCCTGGGCCATTGCAATGACTTTGGATCTGCCGGGGGGAGGTTAGAAAGCCCAGGATTTTGAGCAGAAAACTGACACACCTGACAGATTTTAGTAGGATCCATTGCTGCTGTAGTGACTGTGGCAGGCTCTTCTCACTTTGGATGCTAAGGTGACAGAACAATCTTACAGGAATGTACATCCTGTAAGATGTAGATCCACACACCCGCCTGTCCTTCAGTAGGGTCATGGGCTAGGCAGACAGTACAGAGTGTCTCTAATAAGAACATTAAGGCTCCTAGTGCATAGCTCCTCCAAGGATGTCCAGGCAGGAGTGGCCAGGCCGTCCTGCTGCGGCTTCCTTCCTGGGGTGTGCTGTGGACACACGCTGATAAGCCCTAACGTGAGTCTTGGAGGCTGTTAGGACTGGTCTCTCATGTCATCTCTAGCTGGACACATTAGGGTTGACACCTGCCACATTCCATCATACGCAGCACCTTGGCTTGCCCAGTTCTCTTCAGAAAAGGCAGTCACCACCATGATGTGCTTTCCTTATAGTGAAATTAACTGAAGCACCTGGTACAGTGTTCAAATATTTATCACTGCCAAGAAGCAGGGGAGAAAGTGTTGCCAGTGAGCAAGGGTTTAGGTTTAAATCTCTAAGGGGAGGGAGCAGGGACCTCTGAGACTCTACTGTGCTTGAATTTCTAAAACCACGGCCACCCTGGAACAGACTAGTAGAAGGATGGGGGGAGGTGACAAGATCCAGCCCTCCCTGGGCTGCTGGAAGGAATGGTCCAGCCCCAGTGACATCATAATCCTAGGTGGGTGCCAAGGCACTGTTAGGAGAAACAGCTCATTTTCCCCCTGGAGCTCCAGGATGTGGATGTGAGAAGGTGAGAAGGAAGGCAGATGGCGACAAAAAATAGCCCTAGTCCCACTCCCATGGGCACAGCTCAGGGGGACCCTGGAGAGGCAGGGACACTGCCAGGGCCTGGTGCTGACATCAGGAACACAGTTTCCACCGCTGAGCGGATGAAGCCCCGGAAAGGGCGCAAGCTCAAGGCGCTCATCATTGACCTGGGCTCCCAGTACTGTAAGTGTGGCTACGCCGGAGAGCCTCGGCCCACCTACTTCATCTCCTCCACGGTGGGCAAGCACAGTCCCGAGGCAATGGTGGATGCTGGCGACAAGGGCAACACCCGCAAGGAGACCTACGTGGGCCACGAGGTCCTCAACGTAGAGGCGCCTCTGAAGCTGGTCAACCCGCTGAAGCACGGCGTCGTGGTGGACTGGGACTGCATCCAGAGCATCTGGGAGTACATCTTCCACACGGCCATGAAGATCTGCCCCGCGGAGCACGCCGTGCTGGTCTCCGACCCTCCGCTCAGCCCCAGCAGCAACCGGGAGAAGTACGCGGAGCTCCTGTTCGAGACCTTCCGCATCCCTGCCATGCACGTGACGTCCCAGGCGCTGCTGTCCATCTACTCGTACGGCAGGACCACGGGGCTGGTGGTGGAGAGCGGGCACAGGGTCTCGCACGTGGTGCCCATCTGCCAGGGCAACCTGCTCCCGGGCATGACCAGCCGCGCGGACTACGCCGGCAGCGACCTCACCAACTATCTGATGCAGCTGCTCAACGAGGCCGGCCACAAGTTCACGGACGACCACCTGCACATCATAGAGCACATTAAGAAGAAGTGCTGCTACGCTGCCCTCCTGCCGGAAGAGGAGCGTCTGGGCCTGGAGGAGCTGCGTGTGGACTACGAGCTCCCGGACGGCAAGGTCATCACCATCAGCCAGGAGCGCTTTCGCTGCGCAGAGATGCTCTTCAGGCCGTCCCTGGCAGGCCGCGCCCAGCCCAGCCTCCCTGAGCTCGCGGCCGCCTGCCTGGACAGCTGCCAGGAAGCGGGCTTCCGGGAGGAGATGGCCACCAACGTGCTGCTGTGCGGCGGCTGCACCATGCTGGACGGCTTTCCCGAACGCTTCCAGAGGGAGCTGAGCCTCCTCTGCCCCGAGGACAGCCCCATCGTGGCCGCTGGGCCCCAGAGGAAGACCTCCGTGTGGACTGGCGGCTCCATTCTGGCCTCACTGGAGGCCTTCCAGCAGCTCTGGGTCAGCAAGGAAGAGTTCGAGGAGCGGGGCAGCGCAGCCATCTACACCAAGTGCTGAGGGGCCGCCCCCAACAGATGGCCCGCTATACATTTGCAGAATTTCACATAAAAGTTTACTGTGCAGTGGCTTTTGTCTCGTCTGGATTTCTTGGTCTCGTCTGATAGCAAGTGGTGGGGAGTTGGAAGTATCAGTGCCTTTGGCTCTGCTAAGTGAGGGAGTAGTGGGAAGTGGGGTTGGGAATTGCAGGGAAGAGGATAGGGGAGGGAACCCACCACCCACAGCTGACCCTCCTCTGTCCACTTCGTGAGGGCAATTTTATCGCGAGGCCTGAGTGTGGCAATCCTGTTCTATTAGCTCCTCTTCCTGGGGCAAAACCTGGCTCAACATGCTGCACATTGCTTGCTCAGCCCTCAGTCCAGGGGCGCCGGCTGGCTTGCGTTAGACTAGCACAGGACATTTCCTGGTGGGCTGCGGGAGGCTCAGGACCGGATGCCTACTTCAGTCTCCTCTTTCTGGGCCAAGTGCTGGGAGCTGCAGCAGACTTGAGGAATCAAAAGAGTCACTACCACCTTAGCCTTTGCTCCCTAGTTCTTTCCTCATCGGCCAGAATCAGACTTCTGGACTGAGATTCGAGTACCTTGGCACTGCTGGGCCTAGGTACCAGGCACAGAACTCAGGCTCTTTCCTACCAGTGGAGGTTGCAGACAGGATGCAAGTACACTGAAGGTGGCCAGTAGACATGTTTGGCTGGCACAGTGTACCCATTGTCTTGGTGAATATGAATTCTTTCTGCAGGCCTCCATTCTCCAGCTTTCCAAAGTCCCTGCCGAGAGGATGTCTTCATAAGTATCTGCTGCTTCAACCTAACTTTTGCTTAACTGGTATTTAGTTTCTGATGCTTGTAGCCCAAAGACCTTGACTAATGCCAATTATAAAAGACCTTATGAGCTACAGAGGGGAAACGGGCTTATAAAGGGGAAAGTAAAACACCTCAAACCACAAGCAGCAAGGAAGTGCTGCATGTGAGCCCTCTTCTACCTGCTGGTATTGAAGATAGCTACAAACCAGGTCTGTGTATCTATCCCTCCCCCTTCTGTCTCATCACAACCTTCATCCTTTCACAGCCAGTAATCTTTCAAAACACCCCTAGTGTGGCAGGGGCTGCTAAAGCACCATGCAACTCAATCTCTGACATTTACGCCAAACACAGGCATGGCAGAAGATTCGCGTTTCATGGGAAAATGTGGGTCAGTGACTTCCAGTTTAAGGTGGCCCACTGACCACGTGTTCCTCTCCTCCCTCCTAAATAAGAGGCCATTAAAGTGAAAGTAGAGAATGTAAATACGTACGACTGCACTGCAAATGAAGACGAAGATGTAGGAATTGCGTGAAGCTAAGAGATGTCACCTGGTTCTGGAAGGAGGCGTGTGCTTGCAGGAAGCCCCTGCAGCTGGAACCATGAAGGTTGCTTCCTGCAGAGCTGAGAAACTTCTTGTCCTGCAAATGGAGAGGTTTGGGACCCTTGGAAATGCCAAGCCAGCAGGGAGGAACACTGGAGAGGTGCGTGAGAATGAAAACAGTCAGGGAAGGGGGTGGTAACTAATGGTCTCTCTTGGGAAGCGTATAGAGGGTTACCAGCCTTTGGAAGTACAAATATATTTGTCAGGAAAACAGTTTAATTCTTCTAAAGGTGGTGCTAGCAGAGGGAAGAGGAGGAGGGCAGAGAAAAGGGCAGATTCTGAACTCTGCCTGGATCTCTAGGTCCTTTCTCTAAACTGAGTCACACTCAAGTAGACCTGATATTCTCGAGGTGGGAGAATTGATGCTGTCATTTCCTTTTTCCTCCTTCCCAGCAGCCCCCACTTTCTGCATGGGCATCAGATGTGCACCCAGGGCAGAGCATGTGTTTTAGGCTAGGCCAGTCAGAGCAACCTTCTCCCTGGCCATAATAGTTGGCGCTGAGTGAATACGTGACTGAGACACACGCCTTTTGCTTGGCAGGTTGATGTGCAGCAAGGGCTGTGTCCTAGAGCTGCTGGGACAACATTTGTCCCCAGGAAGGGAGCAAAGGATTATGGATCTCGGAGTGTCTTGGTGAAACACAGCTGGTGCCCTAGTGAAAGGGAACCTCTGAATGAAACCATGCTTTGAGCATCCCCACTGCCCGACATTATCTCCCTGAGGTAGTGAATCCAGCTTCTTTTGTGCCAGCTCGTCATTTGTCTGTCACTTGCAATGTGAGCATTCTAGCTGCTTGGGTTTTCCTTCTCAGTGACAACATTCCTCAAGCAACTTTGCATGGCTGAAGGTTTGGGCTTAGAGAGGCCTCTTCGAATTGGAATATTAAGCCCAAAAAGTCATTTTTTCCCTAGCAAAGAAGTGATTACATATGTGGAATTCTTATGAAGGTATCAGAGAGTGTCAGATGACACACCACCACTGAGATGCGAGACTTGTCCTTTCTCTTGTATATTTACTTGTTAGGTTTTGGTCCCAGAGGTTAGATTTGGAGGTGTCTCGAGGCTAGGGACAGTGCCTCCCTCACTGTGGTTTTCAGAGCAGTTACAGGCACTGATCTCTGGAGTCTGGCGCCCCCAGCGGTAGATCTCATTCCACCTTTCTTTTTCCTCTTCCAAGGCTTTGTTTGCTCTTTAGTTTCTTCCTCTCTGTCTTTAATTGAATACTTTTGTCAAATTTAATATTTGACCTTCAGCCCTTTCTTTGCTTAGGATATTTATCCGGTGCCACAATATAAGTAATGAATCGTCTCTGATCATGCACCCTTCTCCTTCTTGTCTTTTAAAATATCAGCAAAGCTTTGGTTTTTGTCTTGTTTCTACTTAAATGTCTTAATATTGCATTAAGAGCCTATTTAAATATGATATATCATTTAAGATACTTAAGTACCAAAATATCACACTATTTCATTAAGATATTTAAGTATCAGCCAGGCATGGTGGCACACGCTTGTAATCCCAGCACTCGCGAGGCTGAGGCAGAGGATCACTGTGAGTTCGAGACCATCCTGGGCTACATAATGATTTCCAGGTCAGTCTCAACTACATAGTGAGACCCTATCGCAAAAATACCATAAAAAGAAGATACTTAACTATCAACTTAAATATTACAATATTTCATAAAGATTTAAATACTTAAATATCACTGTACATCCACCATTTAATTTAAAAAAATTTTAAATTTGGGGGGCAGGTACTAGGGATTAACTCAGGCCCTTGCACTTGCCAGGCAGGCATGGTGCCACTGAGCTACATCCTGGCTCTACATCCACTGTTTTCTAAATCCCATCCTCACCAGCGGTCCAAACACATCATCTTTCCCTGCCTCCTCTCAGGTCTCTGTTTATCCTACAACACGGTCATTCGCCCCATCTTCCACCGAGCTCTGGGACTGTGAGAGAGCATCAAAGCAGACATTCCTGAGTGCAGTCAATAACTGCTGAGTTTTGTCTTTGATGGGTATCTAAAATTCACTCTTTCCTGTACTGTGTGTAGACTTATGCAAACTAGTTCTCCCTGCCTCCAATATCTAATCCCCCCAAAAGGACCTGTCTATTGCATTACTTTATTTCAAACACTTGTATCCCTCCTATCTGCCTATTACCCCATTGTAGGCAGGCTTGATATTGAAGGACGTGTTTCAGCACGTGTTATCATTTCCATGGAACCACCCCTCAGCCCCTTAACCATTTACTTGGCTAAAGAAACAAGAAAGGTGTTGCATTCATCGAGCTCCTGCTTAATGTTTTGGGCACTGTGCCAGGTGCTCTGCCCACCTGATGGTATTTAATTCCACAACCTTATGAGGAAGCTGTTATTATTCCCATTCTTATAAATGGGAAAAACCAAAACTCATAGAGGTTTTGAGCCTAAGCCTAAAACCCAAAGCTCAAAAATGAATAGTGTTTAGGGCCGGGGAAGTAGCTTAGTGGCACAGCACCTGCCTGGCAAGAACGAGGCCCTGGGTTCAATTCCTGTTAGTAAAAAAGAAAAGTGGAAAAAAAAAAAAGACCAAAAGAAAAAGCCCCTAAAAAATGAATAGCTTTTAAATTCTTAGTGTTTGCACCAGTCTGCACTCCCACCAACAATGGAGAAGGGTTCCTTTCTCCCCACAACCCCACCAACATTTGTCATTGTGTGATTTTTTAATAGCAGCCATTCTTTGTGGGGTGAGGTGAAATCTCAGTGTTGTTTTCATCTGCATCTCTCGAATGACTAGTGATGTGGAACATTTTTTCATATATTTACTTGCTGCTTTTACTTCTTTGCCTGAGAAATGTCTGTTCATTTCAGATGCCCATTTTTGAATTGGGTCTTTATATTTGGGGGGGCTGATTGTTTTGAGTTCTTTATATATTCTAGATAATAGTCCTTTGTCTGAGGAGCAGCTGGTAAAATTTTTTTCCCACATTGTAGGTTGTCTCTTAGTTCTGCTGATGGTTTCTTTTGCAGTGCACAAGCTTTTTAATAAGATGAGATCCCAGTTGTTGATTTTTTCTGCTAGTTCCTGTGCTACTGAGGATTTGTTCATAAAATCTTTTCTATGTCAGTGTCTTCAAGAGTTCTGCCTAACTTATCTTCCAGCAAGTTTAGTGTTTCTGTTTTAATATTTAGATCTTTAATCCACTTGGATTTTAATTTAGTGCATGGTGAAAGATATGGGGTACACTACTCAGCCATAAAGAATGAGAAATTAGATTCATTCGTAGGAAAATGGATACATATTGAGGATATACTCCTAAGTGAAATAAGTCACATGTGTAAATACTGAATCGTTTCTCTGGTGTGAATAAACTGTAATAGTACATAAACTCCTAATGATATAATGGACAATGTGAAATAGGAAGAAAGGAGCTAATGGTGTAGGGAAAGTGGGAAGGGTAGGGGAAAGCTAATAAGGGGAAAATATGAGAAAATGGAAAAATGGAAATGAAGTGTTTGTAAAGGGGGAGGGGAGGAGTAATGAAGGGAGGGCAGGGACAAGGGGAAAAGATGAGAACCAAGACCTGTCATGGAAAGGTACAAGATCCCAATGATGAATGTAACTGTACTGTAGACCTAAAATGTACCAGTAAACTCAATGAGGGGGGGAAAAAAAAA